CTGGAACAGTGGACCAGCCCATTATTTATCTTGTACATCATGGAGAGCCTGGATTGTCGTCGTCGTTTCTCCAATGGTGACCAGCCTAGTGTTTCTAGCATGCTGCCAACACTAGAGGTATTCCTGTAGCGGTTTAGGACAAAGCGTGCTGCTCGTCGCTGGACCGCCTCCAACCTGTCAATGCTCTTCTGGGTAAATGGGTCCCAGACTGAAGATGCATAATCTAAAATCGGACGGATAAAGGCTTTATATGCTCTTTCTTTCACACAGGAGTTGCCAATCTTTAGATTTCGCCTTAAGAACCCCAAGGCTTGGTTTGCTTGGTTACATACATTGTTAATATGCTCGTCCCAGCGGACCTCTCTTTGAATGGTAACACCCAGGTACTTTACGGAGGAAACTTGCTCAAGAATATGGCCGTGCAGTTTGTATTGGTAGTGTAGAGGAGTACAACTTCTAGAGATTGATAGTGTCTGGCACTTGGCAGGGTGAAATTCCATGTCCCAGCTCATCTCCCACTCAGCTAACAGATTGAGATCCTGTTGTAGCTGGTCCTGGTCAGATCTGTTGGCGATCGTCCTATACACTGCTGTGTCATCTGCAAACAGTCTTGCCTGTGATGTCAGTTTCTCCGGTAGGTCATTAATGTATGCTAGGAACAAACAGGGGCCCAGGACTGATCCCTGGGGGACCCCTGACTTCACATTGACAAAGGAGGAGCTTGTACCGCCCACCACTACTGCTTGGCGTCGGTGGCTGAGGAAGCTAGAGATCCATGTTTTAGTGGTGCCTTGAATCCCATATATCTGGAGTTTGTGTAGAAGCAAACTATGATTCACCCGGTCAAATGCTTTTGCGAAGTCCATTACTAGCACGTCAGTCTGCTTGTGGTTCTCCAGATTGGTCATCAAGTCTTCTACAAATTCGAGAAGCTGGGTCTCACATGACCTATTGACTCGGAAGCCATGTTGACAGTCATTGAGTATATTTTGGCTTTCAAGATGCTTCATGACAGTGCTTACGATTATGTGCTCCAACAGTTTGCAGACGACGCTAGTGAGGGATATCGGACGATAGTTGGCAGGGTCGGAATGCTCCCCTTTCTTGTAAATTGGAGTGACATGCGCTGTTCTCCAGTCTGCTGGAACATTTCCTGTGCATAGTGACGATTGGAAGAGGATTGTCAGTGCAGGAGCGATTTCTTTGGCTAATTCTTTGAGCACTCGTGGTTTAATGTTGTCAGGACCACATGCTTTGTAAGGGTTAATGGTATTGAGGAGGGCAAACACACCTTGTTCTGATATCTGGATATCTCCCATGATAGGATAGGCTCTGTTCATCATTTTGGTCTTCAGAAGGAACTCAGTCTCAGAGTACTCTCTACCGTCACCAAAGACCGACTGGAACTGCTGATTGAGTATCTCCGCCTGTGCTTTTGGGTCAGATGTCAATTGGCCATCCCACCTCAAGGGGGAAACTCCAGCGTTTGAGGACTTTTGGTGTTTCACATAGCTCCAGAAGCGCTTGTTCTTGACATCTTTGGTCGGGGTGTCTTCCTCTGAGAAGATGCCGTTCATGTAGTTCCAATATGATCTACGCAATAAGCGTTGAATGGTTCGGCGGAGTCTCAGTACCTCCTCTCTCAGTTCCATCGAGCCATTTTTCTTCATGCGTTTGTATTGGCGGTCTCTCCTGTGGATGAGCCTACGGATTTCAGCCGTGACCCATGGCTGATTTATCCTAGGTTTGGTGATTTGGTGTGGTATAAATTTCTTCACTGCATCAGTGATTGTAGTCTTGAACTTCACCCACAGCTCGTCTGTTCTCTATTTTTTATTCGTGGAGGATCAATTTTATTGGATGTAATGTTTGTGTGTTTCTTAGCACCACTACTAACGCCCTTTTGATGGTTACTGTGTAATCAAATGGTCAATTGCCGTCTGATCCCCCTACACCCCCCCCTATATTTACTTACACAGACTTCGATGGTTCTCTTGTGCACTTTGCCGGACAGACAAGAGAAAAGACAAAGATGTGAATGTCATAACAATCGCAATCTGACGCATCGCGCCAAAGGCCTCCGAGAGCGCACAAATAAACACGCACACATCCCCTGGACGTAAACAAATATCTCAGACAGGTTTCTATCTCGCCCGTCTCCTTCTGTTATCAGATCTCGAAACGATGATCGCGCAATGGCTTGTTTTGTTCATGAAGTGTTGCGCACATGGGGGGGGGGGGGCAGGGATCCCCCACCCCCCCCCCCCAAAAAAAATAAAAAAAAAAAAAACCCGCAATGGGTTTTTTTAATCTCAGACAGGTTTCTATCTCGCCCGTCTCCTTCTGTTATCAGATCTCGAAACGATGGTCGCGCAATGGCTTGTTTTGTTCATGAAGTGTTGCGCACATGGGGGGGGGGGGCAGGGATCCCCCACCCCCCCCACCCAAAAAAAATAAATAAAATAAAATCGCGCAATGGGTTGTTTTGTTCATGAAGTGTTGAGCACATAGGGGCAGGGATCCCCACTCCCCCACACCACCACCACACACACAAGCATAAAGCTGGAAATGCTGGAGAAGGGAAGTGGTCGTGCAGGATTTAAAGGAATAACATAGAAAAAAAAAGTGAGATTAACTTTCGTTTTCTGGGCATATCAACGGAAACAACGAGACTAATGTCGCTCTCTTTCAATCAGCCGAACAACTATCAAGAAATTCAAGTGAATTAAAATTGTGCAGAGACGGTCTTGGTATTCTATTCATAGAATTATTATAATTTTAAAAAAAACAACATATTTTTGCTGGTAGTCTGAGCATTAATGCGTCAATGTAACTAAAGCGGTGTTGCGCAAACGTGATTATGATAACTGTAGACTGAAATGCAAGTTCTATTCAAAGAATTTATCGAGCTTTCTTTTCTTTTCTTTTGAATCACTTCCCCCCCCCCCCAACACACACCTATTATTCTTCACGTCTTTTTTTCACCCGTCAGAAAACACCATTTTTTCTAAACGTTGTAACACCTTGGTCTTCTGTTTCTCGACCATCTTCTGTTTCTCGACCATCTTCTGTTTCTCGACCATCTCTGTTTCTCGACCATCTCTGTTTCTCGACCATCTCTGTTTCTCGACCATCTCTGTTT